GGAAAGCACAATTGAACAAATTATCTTGAATATTTCGACAGTTTGTTTGATTACAAGGTTTAGAAACATCAGCACAAGTTCACTATAGCGGTATAGGGCATAAAAACAAGCTTTAAAATTTATATTTTTTAATCAGGACTTCGGAAATCATTTAAGAGTTATTCGTTCTATAGAACAGTTCTAGATCGATAATTTTGGTATTACATTCACAACTCTTTGAATTATTTATTATTACAAAACTTACTTAAAACAATTTGTTATCCTTGATACCGTTAAAAAATAAACAAAACATAATCTAAACACGATATTTTAGTACATATTATCATTGTTCCCGGTATATTCGTAAATAATTTCATATTTTAATCCATATTACAATTTCCTGTAATAAACTTATCCCTTTCCGTGGTTTTGTCGACATTACAATAGAATATGTTTTTAAGCATTTTTTGAGTATAATATTTGAATTAGTTTTAATATTTTTCTTTTAGGTGAAAATTAAGACTTTATTATATTTATAATTGAGATTTTTAAAGATCTTCCTTATATTTAAAGTAATATAAAATCAGGTTTTTAGAAATTGTCACTTATGAAAACTTTTTAAAAAGTGATTTTTAACAACGTTTAAAAAACAGCTTTATTTAATGGCCAAAAAATTATTATTAGATTAGAAAATTATTTTAGGAGATCGGACTATACAGATTTAAATTGTGTTGTATAGATATAAGTGTAAGATAGTGTTGCCAGAAAATGAATTTAAAAATATGTTAAAACTTGAAAAACTAAGTGCTAAAATGTTCTACGAAGAAAAAAAAGTGCTAAAATTTTTTAATCTAACAAAACAATAGTTGTGTTTTGTTGCTATCAATGAGTGTTAACGCTTAAAGTTAGCAACAAAACGAACATTACCTGACTTGGCATCACTCCACAGAAGAAATCTGCTAAATCTTGAAATTATTTACATTTTCTTAAAAAAGGTTTTTTTATTTGATATTTTTTTTTATTTAAATTTTATTTTAAAATATTTTTTTATTGTTTGACATAAACACATTAATATTTGTATTTTTATTTTTGAATTGGTAGCACTTTTATCGACGTTAAAATGAACTTGTATGATTTTACACGTTAACTCCTAACGTTTATAAATTTTAAATTTATATGAAATTGCCTTTGAACGTTAGCAACAAAACACAACTAATATAAATGTTTGTTTTCTCTAGTTTTTATTAATGCATAAAAATAGAAAATTCATTAAATTAATTTTCACCGATAAAATTTTTTATATTTCTTATACGACACTAGTAGGACCTACACGGTATTATAAGTTCCCAATATTGACTGATAAAAAATTATATGTATATAATTTGTAATTTTGCTACAACTTACAATTTTGTAATCTAATACTAGTTTTTTGTTATTTTAATTGATAATTTATTTACTTTTTTAATAAGTAAATAATAAATAATATTCTAACCCCCTTATTCACAAACAACATCACCTTATAAGTGCACCCTGGCTTTGTGTTTATAAACAAGAAATTACAATAACAAAAAAATTTACCGTTTGATACTGTGTTTTGTTTTTGTTTGTTTATAGTTTTGTATAAGCATGCATGAAAAATTCGGATTTTTACTCATATCTTCGTTATTTATAGACCGATTGGGCTGATTTTAAATAGCGTGCTATTCCATCGAATTTCCGATAGAATTATTCTAAATTCGGATCTCGCAGATATCTGGGGTCTTCTGAAAACTAATTTCAACATACAGACAGACAGACGGACATGGCTAAATCGACTCCGCTATCTATAAGGATCCAGAATATATATCGTCATATGAAATCCAAAAAGCCCTAAGTCACATTGAACAAATTTTTCAGGAGAAGCAAAAACCCGTCTAAAATGATAAATAAACCAAAAATGTTCAACATTTTCTAAGTTAAGCTTATTTCTTATTGACAAATTATTATTTGAAGAAAAATTTGCGATTTTTGTTTTACTTACGGAGATATGAACCTTACGTCCTTGAGAATTTGTTTTTTTTTTTTTGAAACCCAAAAGGGCCTAAGTTACATTAAAAAATAGTAAATTTTAACATTTTCAACTAAATTAAAAGCGGTTTTTGTTGGTCAAATAGGCCGAAACATGGAAGGCATAAGGCTTCTTTGTTTTCATAAAGATTTTAGGAAATTGGAATTTTCCTTTGAAAAAATTCTAAAACTGATAAAATAATCTCTAAATTACAAGGATTCGCTAAAAGTGCCATTTTTGTTTCATTTAATGCCAACTTATAACATTTCACAGTTTCGAAGTTTAAAATTCAAAAGAATTTTAAAATTTTCATGAATTTTAAGGTAATTTTAGAACACAACCTTTTAGAATTTCTTTGATAGGGACGTTGATTTTAATTGTAGGAGTGTAAAATTTAGCAGGAGCATGTATTTTGATACGGTGCATTATAATCAAACAAAAAGTCGATTTTGATTTTTTTGTAACTTAGGGTTTTTTGGATTTCATATGACGATATACTTTATAGGGTCGGAAGATTATATTATAGAAATTACAAAAGGAATGACAAATTTATATATACCCTTCTCACGAAGGTGAAGGGTATAATTATATACATTGTATCAGTTTTTTGTCATAATGTTGTTTTGCAATATCCAACCACTGATTTTCAATAATATTATTATCAGTTAAACTATACTTAATTTTTTATAGAAAACATAGAAATATTTAATATTTTATCGAGCAAATTATGCTAAATAGCATTTAGCATAATTTTAAAAAACTTCAATGCATTTTCACGATGCAAAATGCTAAATCTAGCACTGAAAGTGCTAAAATGGCAACACTGGTGTAAGAAGACATTTTACAAAACAATATTTACAAAAAATATTGGTTGTTGTTATTGTAGCAGCGACACGTGTAAAGTCGGTGTGGCTGGGTTGACAATCCTTGGTCGTTGTTCGTTGAACTCCGAGTCGTTCCGGTGCGAAGAACCGATTGTCGTGGGAATGAAAAAAATATTGGTTGTACTTTTTGGTGACTGTTTTCGAATGTCGAATATATTCGACATTTAACTCACAAGGGAAAACTCAAATTCAAAAAATATTATTGTTCTTGGATTCAGCATACTCAAATTATCTTAAATATAAGTTTTCAAGTTTTTTGCTCGACATAAATTATTTTTGACCCTGAAAGGGTTATTCTTAATTATTGTTAACCTATTCCAATAGGTTATTTCAAAAATAGCAGAGATCGACGGTATTATTGAACAAAGTATTTTAAGGGCTTTCAAGAAACTTCTCAATATAAATTTTAAAATTTTGATCCCTTTACGAAAATATATCGAAATTTTATTTTTTGGTTTAAACATACCATAGCTTTTTATGGCTGACACTCTTTCTGCTCGAACCTAGTATATTCGAGCAGTTAATTTTCCTTTAAACTACCATCTTTAGCGTCTTACTACATTTTCCGAAATAAATCAACTGAATTTAGAAAAAATTAAATTTTCTATAGTACATATATATAAATTTTTTCCTTTGAAAGTTGTAAAATATTTCTTAGTGTTTTTTTAAGAGAAATACGCGTTGTTTTATGAAATTTTAAAGTTGCCAACGCTGGTGTATGTGTATCATCTTAGCGTCAGCAGAATTTCCTTACCCTACCACGCGTGCTAGCAAATTTCAACAAAAACCGTCTCTGGTGTAATGAGTACTCCACAAAGGACTAGCACTGGTCCATAACTAATCCAAATACAGTGGTTTCCCGGTTTAACGAAAGATATAATGTCAGGCCTATTCGTAAAAACGAAAAATTCGTTAAACCGAATAACAACTTTTCTATGATTTTATGGTAATAATAGGGTAATGGAAGGTAGGAAGTCAATTTTTTAAATCTTTTTGAATGCACACATAAAGTTTTTGACAATTTCCTTGCATTTTTATAAATTTAGAATCAAAACAAAATTAAGGATTTTATGAAAAATTTGATTAAAATTATGTAAAAAACTATACTTATTGTTTAATGAAGGTAAAGTTGTTTCATTTTGAAAATAAATTCTTTTCTTATAAAAAAACATATTAGGGATTTGATCCCCATTTTAATCACTGTGAATTCTAAGTATTTTACGGTAATTTTCATTACAAACAATTCCATTTCTCACGTAATAAAATAATCATAGTATTCCCTTAAATAAAGAATTTTATATTAATATGTATGTCTACTTAATAAATCTTATTTATATATCCGAAAATAATTTTTTAAATGTTATTTTCATTTCTATTCTAGGATTTTTGTATTTGTAAATTTTGTACCCATTGAATTGGGTATTGAACTTATATAAAATCTTAATATGTTATTGCTTTTGGTTAATAATGAAGTTTAGTGATTTCTCCCTATTATTTTTTATAGAAATTTTTTTTTTTTTTTGAAATTCGTTATATCGATTCATTCGTAATATAAGGTATTCGCGAATTCGCTAAACTGAGTAAACCTGGAAACCAGTGTATGTGGAAAAAACAAACTCCATTTAACATTGTGATATCTTATGTGAGGAACACGTAATCCATCAATCATTACATCGGAATAATCCCAAAACTAGTCCTTTGCTGAAATTATGGGAGTACATGACCCGTAATGCAGCCTATGAGCCATGTCGTTTTCAAAAATAATAAACATGATCCATGCCTGCATTACATAGGTCTACTAAACGGATGTTTACAGGCGAGTCGTTTTTTGATTACCTAAATGGATTATGTGGATTTAAATAAACATATTAACATTCAAAAGTCATTCGGGTATACATTTTTGTGCAAAACAGATGACGCGTACGTTGGCCCTTTACCAAAATTTTCAAGCGGAAAGCCGATCAGCTAATAGATGCATGCCGCTTTCATTGGCCCTTCGCTATTCAAATATTTATTTATTTTATTTTACTATTTACATTTATACGCATCTCTAATTGTCAATGTGATAAAAACAACTTGTTTCTTTTTAGGTTCAATCGCGAAAACGCTTACATGTTCAGAATTACATAAGAGGGCAGAAAAAATAGCAGCTCTTTTGCAAGAAAAAGGGAAAATTGAGCCAAATGATCATGTTGGTAAGAACGTAGGCCATCGTTATTCTATATAAAAAATATGTTCTGAATTATTTTTTGTTTTCATTGTAGCATTAATCTTTCCTCCAGGGTTGGATTTACTGTGTGCTTTTTATGGATGCCTCTATTTAGGTGCTGTACCAATTACCATTAGACCACCACATCCTCAAAATTTAATTACCACTCTTCCAACTGTTAGAATGATTGTCGATGTTTCAAAAAGTGTAATAGTTCTGTCTATACAGTCTATTATTAAACTTTTAAAATCTCGAGAAGCAGCCGTTTCCATAGATCCGAAAACATGGCCTCCAATTCTTGACATTGATGATAACCCAAAGCGAAAATTATCGTGCATTGCTAATTCTCCTTTAGATTCCACTGCGTATTTAGATTTTAGTGTATCTACGTGTGGCAGATTAAGCGGAGTTAATATTAGTCATCGGTATTTAGCAAAATATTAAAGTTGTTTTAATTAATTTGCACTAAACTCTTTTTAAAGATCTCTTTCTAGCCTTTGTGCCAGTTTAAAATTAGCCTGTGAGTTGTATCCATCGCGACATGTTGCCCTCTGTTTAGATCCATACTGTGGACTAGGGTTTGCAATGTGGACACTAATTGGAGTTTACAGTGGTCATCATTCCATATTAATCGCCCCATATGAAGTTGAATCTAACCCTAGTCTTTGGCTCTCAACCCTCTCACAGCATAGAGTGCGTGATACTTTTTGTTCTTATGGTGTAATAGAGTTGTGTACAAAAGCTTTAAGTAATTCAATCCCACTCTTGAAGCAGAGAAATATTGACTTAAGATGTGTTCGTACATGCGTGGTCGTAGCAGAGGAAAGACCACGCGTACAATTAACTCAACAGTTTTGCAAACTATTTCAGGCTTTAGGCTTGAACACACGATGCGTATCAACCTCATTTGGTTGTCGAGTTAATCCAGCCATATGTGTACAAGGAGCTAGTTCTGCGGAAAGCGCACAAGTATATGTAGATCTACGAGCTCTAAGGAATAATAGAGTTGCACTAGTGGAACGAGGAGCCCCTAACTCACTTTGTCTAATAGAATCTGGAAAGTTACTACCAGGAGTAAAAGTAATTATTGCTAATCCTGAAACAAAAGGACATTGTGGTGACTCACATTTGGGTGAAATTTGGGTAAGTTGTACTAGGAAAGATTATTATGAAATTTGTGATGTAGTGATAACTAATTCGAAATGATTAAACATTTAAAGTGGTAGAAGTGGTATGATCCCACAGCAGATGTCTATCGAATGAACTGAACTGAAATTTTATAGTTGGTGTCCTGTAGTTACAATCTTCCTTTGTGAGGTTTTCGTACTCCTCGCAAAGAAATAATATAAAATTTTGGTATCCTAAGAGAGGGATCTAACTAATCTAAAAAAAAATTTATAAAATATGGGAAATTCTTTTTTTATTTAAGATTTTATGGTTCAAAAAATTATGCAATATTTTTATAGCACGATACTTCGTGTTAATATTGTCTGATATCTTAGAAGTACAATTATCTTCTCGCAAATAGCCATACAAATTATAGCCTTTTAAAGTTAAAAGTTGAAAAAAATCTCAAAATAGCGATTTAAGCTGAAAATCAAAAATATAAGCGTGGATATAACCCACAATGAAGGACCAAAATACAAATGAAATTAACCCAAATATTTAAAATATTGGTGGATAAATTCGCTTTTTAAGAGTTTTTTCAACTTCTTCAAAAAATATATCTTTTATAAAACTAAGTACACATTGTATTATATATGTAGATTATTTTCTTGAAAGAAAAACACCAAGACAAATAATTATTTAAGGTTTTGTGTTAGCCGGTTAATAATCGGATAATTCAAAATTATTCGGTTAGTCAAATAAAAGGAAACTGTTTTTTTATAATATGTTTTTTACAATATTTTTCATTTAAAAAACAATATTTATTATTTTCCACTTTTGGTGTTAAATTCTATGAGAGTTTTTTAATGAATTTTTTATTCAAATATTAGAAATGGTTTCTTGTGAATTCCTTTTCAATATAAAGAAATTAAGCTAATTAATTTTTTTTGAGATTTTTTCAACTATATAGTTCCAGAATTCCCACGTTCCAATGAAGTAGTGAACAAGACCAGTATTTCCTCTATTTAAATGTTGGAACAAGTAAAATATATTGTAGTGTGATGGTATTAGTGTTAGACAAAAAAATTAAGGGAGCTTTTTTACATACGGAGATACTCGACCACGTAGAGGAGAAGGCTGGATTCCAACTTTATTGATTCATTGGGGCACAGTCGCCGAGTTCTATCGATATTACAATGGCATGTGGCTTTTGCTATATCAAGAACATCTAACTTCTACGAACGCCTGACTGTGACAAAGAAAGTGCTCCAGAGTTTCACTGTCCCCTCCACATGCTCTACATTCGTCAGAATCCGCACGGTCAATTTTGTATATATGTGCTTGTAATCCTTTTTGTCCACTCATAATACGTACCATCATACTAACTGCAGACTTGCTAATTTTGAAGAGATTTCTCGTCTTGTTCTCATCAGGGTCACCCCAAAGTATCTTTGTGGCTCTACCCATCGTTTCATTATTCAAGAAGCCTTATATATTTTGTTTGCGTTTGTCAGGTTGACTACCTCGAACTCCCTTCCCTTTAAAGCTATTACATTCGCGAATTCGTTGAAGACTACTCCTGAGTGGCCTGGTACCCATATGATGTAAACCTTACCTCTGGGAGATTATTAAGTTAAAGCTTTCTTACAACCCAATACGGTTTTACATATAATTCTATCACCTAATATCGTCCTAACTGCCATCTGGCTGTCGGTAAATATATTAAGGGCTGTGGGAACCATATTTATTCTAATCCAATTTACACATTCCCTTATTGCTCGGACTTCTGCCTGAAAGTTTGTGTTATGATTAGGTAAACGGTGGTATATTTCTGTTTCTGGGTCTTCAATATAGAACCCCAGGTCCACTTTATCCCCCAATTCGTGTAACAATCCGCATCCCGTGTAGCAACGGATTCCTACTGGTATTTGCTCTGGTTTTCTAGCTTTGGTTGAAGTAGTACACATGGCACCACTTATACCCAAGCAGAATGTACGCTGAACTCCCTGTAGTTGTTTGATATTACACTTTTTGTCAAAACCGGTCCACCTGATTATTGAAGCATAAGCTAGAATTGGTCTAATTACACTTTTATAAAGCCAATTTGTCATAGTAGGACTAAGACCCCATTTCATGCCTATAGTTCTCCTACATATCGCCCAGCACCGATGTGCCTTGTTGATCCTATCCTCTATGTGGTGTCTCCATTTTAACTTCCGGTCGAGGATTACACCCAAGTACTTAACTTTGTCTGTCACCGGTATCTTCTTGCCCAGGAAGCAAGGTTCAGTATACGTAGAAATTTTTGTCTTTCTTGTGAAAAGACAGATTTTCGTCTTCGTCGGGTTAATATTGAGGCCTCTCGGTTGAGCCCAGTCTCCTCAGCTCTTCTACACAAGTAATTTGGATAATTTCTCTTTAAAAGTATTACGACATTTCCCCGACAGCCGGTTCTACGTACCGGAATGACCCGAATTATTCGGCCAAGGGCTGTCAACCCCAGCAAGAACAAGACAATTTTCTGCAGCGGAGCAACATCTTCCGGCATTGCTGCTCCGCATCCTTTTGGTCCGTGCCGGAATTGAATTAAATCCCGGACCATGGTGCACAGTTTGCCAGAACCGACTGAACCATATGTCCATCCAATTAAGGTGCAACTCTTGTTTGGGCTGGTGTCATCTCAGGAATTGCTCCGGACTTAACGATCATCGAGGTGCTCGGAAAATTTCGTCGCCCCATGCTGCTTACAACAACGGCGAGATTCATCAGCGTCATCGACAATAACATCGTCATCTTCCTACGCTACCCCTCCGCCCTCTCCCTTGCAATCACAACAACAGCAGGAACAAAAATTACGGTCGCCGCTAACATCCTCGATTGCCCTCCGGAGATCTGGGATGATATCCATATTGCAGTTCAACTGCAATGTCGTCCAAAAGACAATTTCCAAGATAAATCGATATATGCAGCACAACAACATCGTGGTCGCTGCGGTCCATGAGACGAACAATTCCAGTCTGCAAAGTTGTAACGGATACAACATTCTCCGAAAAGACCGCACTAGAAGTAACGGTGGGGGCATTGCTTTCATCATTCACAACTCCGTGCAGTATAGAGCTCTTTCTCTCGATTCTAACTCCAGAGACCAATATCTTGAAGTTCAAGGTATTGCAGTTAGATCGGGAGAAACTGACTTAGAGCTCTATAATGTCTATATTCCGCTTGTAGCCAGCTCTCTAGCAGGCTACCGTCCCGACATCAGGACTTTGTTAGACGGCGATATGCGTCTTGTCCTAGTGGACGCCCACCATCAGCTCTGGCACTCTTCTTTAGGGGAAGATCAGAGAGGTGCGTTGCTGGCGGAACAGATTGACGTGTCCAGCTTCTGCACCCTGAATGATGATGCCCCCACCACTTACCCATAATCGTTTGTCTGGATCGACCTAACGATTTTATCGTCTCTGAACGCCGTCAATACGTAAACCAAAAGAAAGCAGATTGGCACGGCTTCAGAGAATTCACCGAACGCATCTTCAGTGATCTAAATTTTCCCTCCAACGTACACCATTCAGAGAGGAAGTTCCGCGAAACCGTCATCTCAGCAGCTGCTCGCTTTATACATGCTGGTCGTATATCCGTTGTGCGGCCGCACTTTCCAGCAGAAGCAGCCAGGCTTGCATATGTAAGAGATGACATCCGAAATACCAATCCAGGTGATCCAAGACTCACCCAGCTTAACATTGAAATCAGCAGGTTGGTAAATGAGGACAAGTGGAAAAGATGGCTAGATCACTTGAAGAACTGCAACCTGAGTTCGGGTGTTAGTAAGTTGTGGTCTACAGTTCGATCTCTCTCCAACCCGACGAAGAAGGATGACAGGGTCGCTATTCATTTTGCAGACATCCCCATTTCCGACCCTGAAGGGTGCTCGCGCGCATTTTGCCGTCAATTCATTGAGCACCCTTCAAACTTCACAAAAATACTGGGGGTCACATTTGATAGCCTCTTTGCTTCCTCAGCTCACGCCACTGCAATCACGCACAAATTGCGAAGTAGAAACAAGGTCCTCAAAGCGCTAGCCGGCATAACTTGGGGTATGGATAAAGAAACCTTGTTGGCTACATATAAAACGATTGGTCGGTCAGTGGTTAATTATGCTGCTCCAGTGTGGTCACCTTCGCTAAGTGATACCCAGTGGAGAAACATTCAAAGCTGCCCAAATGCTGTTTAGCTGTTACAACAACAACAGTCCTTTCTCAGTTAGGGTCCTCTCAAAGCTGTTAATCGTGATCACCAAAGGTATACCGCGAAATACCTTTTTCCTGATAGTTATATCGTACATCTGGCAGCTTATCCATCTGTTCCTTATCGTGTAGTTGATCCAGTTACGGAGCACCCGGTTAACATAAAACTGGTCTAGTGATTGGATAAGAGTATAAGTGTGAACGTTATTGAAAGCTCCTTTGATGTCAACGCATACCGCCAGTGTATACAATTTGCTATCGAAGGATTCACTTATGTACACAGTAAAAAATTTCAGCATAAATATTATGAACTGATTTCACTGACAAAAGTTAATAATAAGTTCCTAAATTGTATGATTTTTTTTTATTTTTTCAAACATAATCTAGAAACCTTGACTTAAAATATTTCAAACATATTTTTATTTTCTATTTAGTAAAAAAATGTTTGAAGTTTTCTTAGGAAAATTTTATATATATTTATGATTTTTAGATTAATATCGATTAAATCTGCGCGTAATTGGCGGCATTTTATGAAGAATAGATATTTAACTATGTTTGCTGATGTTTTCTTTTTTAAGATTTTATTTTTCAGCATTTCAATTTCTATTTTTTTATTATACAAAATTCCCTAATAAAGGATTAATATCTACTAAATATGGAAACATATTAGTAGATAATAGACTTTGTTAGCAATTTGTTCATGAATATTACAGAAAAAAAGTAAAAATTTAAAAAAATTCCGTCATGTACAAATTAAAGGCCCAAATAGACTACACAAGCGGCTTATCAAAC